AGCCTGCAAAGAAGGAAAAGCCTAAAAACTAAAAGCAACCATAAGCAGAAAGGAAGAGAGACGTAACACTGGCCAAGCACTTAATTTTCCACTACTGTGTCCTACTGCATGGAGAGTGGCAGTGCCAACTTAACAATTTCTTTTGGGCATAGCCAATGCAATATGTATAAAATCTACACCTCTATGGAACAGCCTTGCTTAAAAGAGACGATGAGTTTAACTTCAATGCCTTGATTAACTCTCACTATTTAAAAATTCCTTCTGAAAGTCTTGTCTTGCTGTTGATGCAGGGTGCTACACTGTCACTGTCATTTCCAGCTGACAACACCACTGAAGAGAACAGAAACACTCAGAAAACCAACATCTAGTAACACAAGGCAATTTATAAGATGCCTGAGATTTCTACGAATGCCTTATCAACTTAAAAACTATTACACCTGGAAATCCCTAAATGATGCAGACAGCAATTGCTTCAACAGCACATATCTAGAAAATAATTTAATTTAAAAATTCCTGTTTTGATTTAAAAATTCATTAAATCATTTAAAAGGAGAAGAATACTCCACTTTTGCAAGTAATTTTGAACAAAATTTGGTGAACGAGAAGCTGGACATGAGCCAGCAGTGTGCACTTGCAGCCAGGAAGGCCAACTGGGTCTGGGCTGCATTAGGAGAGGGGTGGCCAGCAAGGAGAGGGAGGTGATTGTTCCCCTCTACTTGGTTCTTGTGAGGCCCCATCTGCAGTACTGCATCCAGTACAGGAAGGATGTGGAGCTCTTGGAAAAGGTCCAGAGGAGGCACTAAGATGATCAGAGGGCTGGAGCACCTCTCCTACGAGGAAAGGTTGATGGAACTGGGCTTGTTTAGCTTAGAGAAAAGAAGGCTCCTGGGAGACCTCATTGTGGCCTTCCAGTACTTGAAGGGAATGCATAAACAAGAGGGGGAACGGCTGTTTACAAGGGTGGATAGTGATAGGACAAGGGGGAATGATTTGAAATTGAGATAGGTTAGATTAGATGTTAGGAGGAAGTTTTTCACTCAGAGGGTGGTGACGCACTGGAACAGGTTGCCCAAGGAGGCTGTGGATGCCCCATCCCTGGAGGCATTCAAGGCCAGGCTGGATGTGGCTCTGGGCAGCCTGGTCTGGTGGTTGGTGACCCTGCACATAGCAGGGGGGTTGAAACTAGATGGTCACTGTGGTCCAGGCCATTCTATGATTCTATGAAAATAAAACATTTTTATGAAAACATTTCTGTTTTTACTAATCCTTAAGGTTTTGATAAGAAGAAAAAACTTGACCAATTTGCCTGACTGCCTGAGCATCACAGACAATTAAATGTTATCCTCTTTCTTCTGTGCAGAATCTAATAACCTGTGTGTGACTAAAGTGCTACTAATATTGGTGCTTAATTTCCAATATGAATTTGTCTCCAGCTTCTGGCACTTGGTTCTTATTATGTCTTTCTATATTATGATAAAGAGCCTTTTAGTACCTGGTATTTTCTCTCTGTGAAAGCACTTTTACACAGCAATCAAGTCACTTCTCAATCATCTTTTCAATAAATGAAGCTAGCTAAAGTTCATGCATTATCTCACCGTAAGGCACTTTAATAAAAACCACACCTCAGTGAAGTCGTGTGGCTCTTAACTGCACTAACTCAACCTTTCAATGATATTTTAACAATACGGAGACCAGAAAAGAGATGTACTACTTCTGTACCAGCCTTACCAAAACCATATAAGGAAATAAAATAACAGCTACAGGAGATGAGCTTGAAATTTTATCTTGCCTCATTTTAGCCATCTCAAGGTTATTCTGCACACTCTGAATTCAACACACGGAGAGAGACTTTCAGAAGACAATTGGCCCCATTTCTTTTAGGATTCAGTGAACTGCTCTGTGTTGGTGGTTCCCCCCAAGATCGATTGCTCAGGGGCTTGATGGAGTTGATTGCTTATTATAGCACCACTGCATCTATTTTGAGTCTTCCAAAGCTTCACGTTTTATCTCTGTGCTCTGCATTCCCCGTTCTTAGGGAATATATATATGTAATTGCTTCTGTCTTGGTTAAAATGCATTTTCTTTAAAAAGATTCTGTGAATTAAGTGATCCAGGTCACACTATGACAGTCTTGTCACAGTTATTCACTGCCTGACCAGCACTGGTGTCAATCATGACACATCCTATAAGCAGTGATTCTCACTTGCTGCTGTCTCTCTTGCTAATCCTAGGGAAAGCCCTTCAAACTACAGCCCAAGTGACTTCTTACTGATAATTACTTTCTGATAACTGTCAGCTAGTTTTTAATCTTATTTCATGTTGCTAATTTATATTTTAGACAAAAATCAGAATGTCACAAGACTCTAAATTATGTGCAATATGAGATATTAAGCACGCTGCAAACATGTTGTTACTTTATCAAGCACATTTGCAATCCCCCAAATAACAAATTAGGTTTGTTTGACTAGAAAACCTTCACATAAAGCCACATTTGCTAGTAGCCATCACATTTCTGTTTACTTCTACCCACTGAATTCTGTGACTATTTTTCCATTAGTTTGTATGGCACACGGTTACTCATCTGAACCACCCAGCCCAGCTGTCTGAACACTGACACTGCACTATCGATCTCTGCACAAAACCCTTACTGAATTTTGAAACTAATCTTCTGTTTTAAGAATTGCTATCAGTGAATTTTAAAAGTTCCCCATACCAACTAGTTAGGAAATAAAGAAAGTTGCTGGAACCTACTAGTTAAACACGATTATCTTTAATAGTATCTTTTGATTTAGTTCTTCAGTAATATCCCCTCTTAATTATCTGGACTTGGTTTTTAATGATCCCAAGGGTGAAATTCCCAGTACCAGGCTGACAGCAGTGTCTGAGAACACCTTACAGCTAACCCAGCCTGGTGTCACATTCCATTTGCTACCCAGAAGCTGAGGTTTGTGTCCCATTTTCCCTGGACTCTCCTGGGATTTTAAATCATCCAGAGAGGCCATCAGAATAAATCTGCAGAGATGCATGTAAACTTCCAAATGCAAGAATGCAGCAGGGAAACAGTTCTTACTCTCTTCACAACCTAATTAGCCTTAAATCACCGAACAATGCTTGCTATCTTCAGAAACCTGAACCTCTTCTCACCTGTTGCAGGGCCAAAGCTGCAATGAAAAGACATTCAAAGTGTCACGTCTGCCTTGACACTTCCATAGTACAGTCACATCAACCTAGAACCCAAAGGAGGAATAAAGCATGAAAGCAGAAATTCCCCATTAAAAAAACCTACATAAAATAAACCAGCCAGTACAACATGAGTGAGCTAGTACCTGGAAGATCAGCTAAGATTAGATGGGAAAAAAGATGTCTCCCCAGGTGTTTGACACCATCAGTGACCACAAACAGGGTCAGCACAGCACCAGATAGGCTGCTCCACACGATCCCAATGTGCAGCATCAGCCACCAGATGCACTCACGCCTCTACCTGAGCATCCCTATGTTAACCCATAAAGAAATTTCAGCTGCTGACTCCTTCAAAGAAATGACAGGGAGATGTCGGTTCCAGCTTCAAATTTTGCTGATGATCACCATCAAAATGCAGTTAAAGTGCTTAAGGCAGTCTTAGTAAACAGGCACCGGGGAAATTTACTGGAACTGTGCAGAAGATGTTTTGATAGATTTTTTTTTTGAGAGAAAAGGAGACAAGGAGCCACAGAGAAAGACAGGCTGGCCTGGAGATTTTAACGTGTTCATTTCTTAGTCTGACTGCACCTAGCTCTAAGTTCCAGCACCCAGAGCTTGTTAGACTTGTGACTGCTAGGTTGAAGAGCTGCGTATGAAAATTTCCTGTCCACCCAGGCACTTACGTATTTTCCACCTCCATTAAGCTTAACAGGCCATGTTTTCTCAAATCTTCTAGTAGGCTTATTTTTCAGTTTCTTAACTGGCCTGAGAAAGGTGAGCTCATTAATATCTGTTCCTTGATGATACATAGGGAAGGAACCAGAGCTTGCTGCGCACTGCCCACAGTGATGACCTCACTTCAGTTGTTCATGATGCATTCAGTACACACAGGACAATACCACAGTCCTTCTCCTTCCACAAACATATGGACCACAAGCCCTGACTACGCTGTGTTTCTTCTCAGAAAGGGCTGTAAGGCATTGGAACAGGATGCTAAGAAGCGCATAGATATGGCACTTAAGAGACATGGATTTGGGGCATGGTGGTGATGGGTTGACAGTTGAACTACATGCTCTTAGAGGTATTTTCCAACCTTAATGACTCTATGATTCCTAAGCATATAAACTTTATATTTAGCCATATTAAAATATTGTCTTAACCAAGTACCCAAACGATTCTCCATCAGAAATAACAGAATCACAGAAACACCAAGGTTGGAAAAGACCTACAAGACCATCCAGTCCAACCATCTACCCATCACCAATAGTTCTCACTAAACCATGTCCCCCAACACAAAATCCAAATGTTCCTTGAACACCTCCAGGGTCGGTGACTCCACCACCTCCCTGGGCAGCCCATTCCAGTGCCTGACCACTCCTTCAGAGAAGTAGTATTTCCTAATGTCCAGCCTAAATCTCCCCTAGCACAACTTGAAGCCATTCCCTCTAGTCCTATTACCAGTTACACGAGAGAAGAGGCGGACCCCCAGCTCACTACAACCTCCCTTCAGGTAGTTATAGAGAGCAGTAAGGTCTCCCCTGAGCCTCCTCTTCTCCAAATGTCTCCTTGTCTACTACATTTTCAGCCTGTATCATCTCCAGACTTCAGCAGTAACTATCTCCTTGATCACTGCTTGAGAACAAAAAACCAGATCACATCACTGTATAGGTGATAATCCTCTGCTTAATATTTACCAGTTTGAAACCTGGCAGACAATTTTTGTATTTTATATAGTTTTATAATCTATATAATTTTTGCATTTTGACAAACAGTATCTACTTAAAGGGGAAAAAAAAAAAAAAAAAAAAAGCATCATCTGCTTTGCTGAACAAATTACAACCAAAAACAGGAAAGAACATTTGGCACAGTCTATTTTGCCTACACTCACATAGACCAGTATCATATCTTTTTCCCTTAATTTTGAACTGATTGATTTCCAAGTCAGATGTTTATTGTTTTTCATACAGTCACTTTTTGTTTGGGTCATACAATTTACCTTTTGAATGCTGGCATAGTATTTGTTTTTTCAGTCTTGCAGTGCTCAAAAGTTACTGAAAAATATCAACAGTAACTGTTGGTAAAATTTCATAAACAAAACTCTTGAATGTTCAGACTTTCTTATTTGAAGTTCTTCACTTTTAATTAGTGTGCAGAGCTTGTCTTCAATAGCCATTAATCAACATCTCACAAATATTTATTGGGATGAGAATGGCTATGCTGCTATTACTGTCAGACAGTAACTACTGAATGGTTTAATTGTCCCAACAACCTGGCCAGCTTTCTGTGTTATAACATTAAATACCTAATACATTTCCTCAATAACCCAAACAGATTCTATTAGTGTGGCTTCCTAACACATTTCAAAAATTCTCCACCTCTTTTAGCTGTAGATTTCCCCTGTTATCATTTTGTACTGAAATAAAATTAGCTGCTTTCTGTAACCCAAGACAATTTCACTGATAACAGACTCTCAGTGAAACTGATGCTGTTCAGATGCATAAGATGAAGCCTTGGTAAAGCATTGGTTTTTCAGAGGTGTGCTCCAGCACCGAATCCTCAGCTCTAAGGCATGTTCAAGCTCCACCAGGTGCTGCTTCCTGATCAGCAATCAGGAAAAAGATGGAGGCTGAAGAGGAGGAAGGTTTTTTCCACAAAGAAGCACATCAGTCAGAATGAGGGATAGCTCCCTAGTTCTATTATCCTCAGCTCTGCTTCCCTTGTAGCTGACATTCCAGAACTGCATTTTTACCATCTCTAGGACAGTGTCTGAGAAGAAACTGGATAGTTGTAGGGCGACAGTGCCACCCAAATGGTCAGTTTCAGCAACCAAGTGACACACTAGCAGCCTGGAAAGCAATGGTTACTTCAGGACAGCTAGCTACCAACATCAGCAAGCACATTTCAGTTGTACAGAGCACAGACAGAGGCAGCTCACCTGTGGCATGGGATAGCATTCAGCACCAAGTTGTTCAGTCCAAGTGGAAAGCAGAAAGGACTGAGACACAGAGTGCAGTTCCCTTCACTCCCAATACACCACACAGACTGTGAGAGCAGAAAACTGGGCAAAATCTCTAGATTTGCATACAAGTAGCCTACCTTTACCAGAATGGACTTCAGGACAATCTTCTAGAGGAAGGGAAAAGGGAATCTAGTTCTTCTGGCGTACACTAAGCTATGTGAAGCAACTGAAATATCTTCCACTTCACTAAATCTACAGGTATTGCAACAGTACATGCATCATCGAGTGTATGCAAAGAATGAGGGCTATTTGGAAAAGAAATCTTACAGTAGATCGCAGGAAGTGGAAAGTTGTCACAAAGATGTGCCAGCCTCAAATTCTGTATTACAGACAACTGTCAGCTGCAGTGACGTAAAGCTGCATGGGTCTGTCACAAGTAAAATTTTAATTAACTCTAAATGTTTCAAGCCTCAAAGGTTTAAATGCATATATTCATGATCTTCACAGTCTATTTGCCACATCAAATAGATTTTGAAAATTTTATCATATGAACCACTAAAATGATTTAGCGTGATCTTTCAAAGAATATGTACTTGTTCAGGAAAGTGGAAAATTTTAACTCTAAGTATCAAAATATTCAGAAGATTACAAACATGGAAAATCAAAAGAGCAAATACTGTTCTGTAACTGCTGCCTCTTAAAATGTACAGAGTTCAGCTTGCTGTGAAAAAACTCCTATCCTTTACAAACCTCAGCTTCTTGGAAATCCCTGCTTAATTCTGCCAGGACATTACTTGTTCAGCTTCAAAGTGTTTCAACAACACCATGCAAGACAAAAGCACTGCAGAAATCGTTCTCTTAGGAGCCACTAAATCTATATTTAACACTAAAGTTATATACGATGTAAGCACATTGGCTGAATTTTTCATCACTGGATAATAAATTAAATTTGAACAGAAATCTCTTGCAGTGACCAAAAAAAAAATAAAAATTAAACTGTTCCTGCCTTTCATTTTCTTGATTATTCACTCAATAATTGTGAATGGAGTTGATTTTGGGAAAAGAAGTTGAAATGTTTAAAGATCAGAAAGTGGTTGAAATCTCTGACTGAAGTAATGCTAAACATTTCAATGGTCTCAAAGAGTTAACATTAAAACCATGATTAATTCCTGATAAAAAAAAATCTAATGAATAATATCTCTTTAATATACCACACTCAGCAGCAGAAAAAAAAAAAGAGTATCAGTGGTAGGGATACCCTGGCAAGGCTGAAAAGCAAATTTTAAAAGTGCATTTATTTCTACTAGGTTTAATTACCATTTAATAAAATATAGTGACGATTCCACAGTATCAATAAACAGCCTTAGAGACAGCGAGAACAGTATTAGTAATATCTTTAGAAACAGAGCAGGCAAATTCACAGAAGGATCATCTGACTTTCTGTTGTTTATTGGGCAAAGCAGGAGGCATCTACCTGTACAAGTGAAAAACTCAGCTGGACAAAGATGGGCTCTGCTCCCCCTGCCCAGCCTAACATAGTGCTCACTGCTCACGCTGCCCTGGATGCACACACAGTGCCTCCCACCCTCCCGTTCCCCCTGGCCCCAGGAAATGTACAGGCAGATGTGTGCGGAGCCTTCCCCTCCCTGCTTAAAGGGGAAACCTTTTCTAAAAGGAGCCCAAAAGCCAACCTCAGTGCAGCTTCACAGAGAGAAGACAGCCATTTGATTGTAGCATGCTCTGCCGCCGCCGCTGCTCCCCCAGTACACAAGTGTTGCTAAGCTGTAATGTTATGTGATGTTCAGCACGCTGTCTGTGAGCACACTAACCCTTTGTTCCACGGCTGTTGTAGCAGCCGTTGTTGCTGCTGAAAAAGAAGGAATTCATGCTACTTAGTGACTTAAGAAACACCATGCACATGAACAGCAAACCGCTCTCCTTTCCAAAACAGTTTTTATCTATGGCACAGATAAAGCCAAACCTCATTAGGCTGCAGTGCTTGCATTGGTGCGAATGCTTCCATCAGCTGAAAATGGAAGCTTTCATCACAAACTTAAACTCACCAGACTGACAAGTCTTCAGCATCACTTCCAAAGTAACAGTATGAAACCATCTCAGTGCCACACACACGTCTTATATGTGAGGAATAACCACAACTGATACCTCTCTGTGTGCCACTAGGGATGCCTTCACTTTCAGTGCTGCCCTGCTGTACGATCAGGTACCACAGATAATACAAGGAAAACGTGAAAAAAAAAGCTCCGTGCAAACTGAGATCCTTGCACCGTAAATGTTTAACTCCAGAAGCATTACACACAATTTGGCCAGCTGATACTACAAACACATTGCAAAGCATTAAAAACAAGGTGCCCTTTAGAACAGCATTACTCATTTCTGTGCAGAACTCTCAAAACTCTGTAAACTTCCTAGGTGTAAGGACAGAGAGAGAAGTGGTTTTTATCCCCTCCTTCCCTCACACAGTTAAATGCAAATTCCCTCTACAGTCATATTCCTGCCATCTCCCTGCATACACAGCTGATACGCCACCTACTGCAAAACCCAGCTGACAGCCGGAGCAATGCTAGCAGCATTTCCATTCCAACATCGTGCCTGAGCTGAAGAAAGGTGCTCTTAAATAAAAATTTCTCTCTTTTCAAGCTGACAAGAACAAAGCAAGATCGCTGTGCTTCGCTTCGAGAATGGAGAGAAAATCAAACAGAAGAGCAAAGGAATCTGAAGAAAGCCACAGCAACTTCGAGGGCTCTGAGCAAGACAAGGACTATAAAACGTCTCTGATTACTCTGAATGTTGGTGGCTATCTGTACATCACACAAAAACAAACACTAACCAAGTACCCAGATTCTTTCCTCGAAGGTATCATCAACGGAAAAATAATGTGCCCGTTTGATGCAGACGGACATTACTTCATAGACAGAGATGGACTCCTGTTCAGACACATTCTGAACTTCCTACGAAATGGAGAACTTCTGCTACCGGAAGGGTTTCGAGAAAATCAACTTCTGGCACACGAAGCAGATTTCTTTCAGCTGAAGGTCTTATCGGATGCAGTGAAATCGAGGTGGGAGAAGGAGCAGCTCGCATCTCGAGAGACCACTTTCCTGGAAATAACTGACAGCCACGACCGCTCGCAGGGGCTCCGGATCTTTTGTAACGCTCCTGATTTCATAGCAAAAATAAAATCCCGAATCGTACTGGTGTCTAAAAGCAGGCTGGATGGATTTCCAGAGGAGTTTTCAGTCTCTTCGAATATCATTCAATTCAAATACTTCATAAAGTCTGAAAATGGTACACGACTTGTGCTGAAGGAGGACAACACCTTCGTCTGCACCCTGGAAACTCTTAAGTTTGAGGCAATTATGATGGCTTTAAAATGCGGATTCAGACTGCTGACCAGCCTGGATTGTTCCAAAGGATCTATTGTTCACAGCGATGCACTTCATTTTATCAAGTAATTACAAAGGCAGAGGAAACAAGCATGCAGTCGGCAGACCTCCTTTAACGGCAGCGTCCTGGCATCACAGATCTCCTATCTAACCAGCCCTGTACCACACAGCTCGGCTGCTAATCAGTTAATGTGAGCTAATGGTATGTAAATCTCGTAATGACATCCATCTCCGGCTTATTCGAGCTGAATGAAATTTTTATTAAATTCAGGCATCAAATTTATCTGCTAACCACTGTAAACAGAGACCGAATGCTTTCTGGTATTTGTACTATGTTTTTTTCATGCTGTCTTTCAACCGGGAAGTCTCGCTGAATTTCTGTGTACTTGTATGACTAACACGCACACACCTAACTGCTCTGCTGAGCAGCACGGAGACTATTCTCATACAACAGGCAGGCTCACAGTATGTTCTGCTCCTCGTGAATTCAGAATGGGTTTTAACTGGAATAAATGTTTTTAAATGTTCCTTAGTGTTGATGCTAATTTGTTGTTATGCTGAATTTGCAAAAAAAAAAAAAACAAAAAAACCCAACAACGTGGTATTGAGAGAGGGTTTTAAAATTAATCTGCTTCATTCTAAAGTTAAACAACTGTCTTCAAAAGAAATGTACAGCTGTGCTACTACATTAATAGCAACTGCTAAGGACAAATCAGCCAACCAGTAATGCTGGGGGGTCAGTTCTATTATGGGAAATGAGTTGACTCTGCAGAGAATGTTACATTTTTCTGCATATATCTATTTATCAGATGGCTAATAAAAATGTTTGGCATAAAATTTCATGTAACAGGTTTCCAACAATTTCGTGTAACGGGTTTCCAACCTCCTACAATGCTGAAGTCACTATTTTCCACTAATCACTGGTGATCATAAAGACAGGCAATTAGCAGAGCCCCTGCTCTGCACAACAGCTTATCGAAAGCAGGTAGTAGTATTAGTTTTGAATAGATCACCTGTAGCATCAATATAAGTGATGGAATAAATACCTTCTTTCTCCTCATCTGCAGTTTATTAAATCTTCCCATTTGTATTTTAAACAAAGTTTATAAAGCAGTCACTCCACAAAAGCCAAATGAAAAATCATCACACAACGCAAATGGAAGCTGCACAAACTCTGAGCTTAAGTTTTGACCGTCAGTGAACTCCACCATCACCAACAGCTCAAATGAACCCAAAACTCAAGTGAAATGCTATTAAAGAAAGCAAACCCAGCCAAGTGGTTTCTTAGCTTTCCCAGACTATCTCTTTTGTACAGAAAAAAGAAAGCAAACATTAAGAATGCACAAAGAAAATGCAGTGTAATCCATGCTAAAGTGACAACTGAGGAGAACAGACAATATCTGATAGGATGAGAACAGCCTTTTTTTGGATTTTAGAGGGAATAAATCCATCTTCAGTAACAGTGACCAGGAATACAATGGCATACAACAACTCCCTCCTTACCCTCCAATGTCAAACTCTGTTCATTATAACATACAACGGCTGCTGGTATCAGAGTCCCCACAGACGAACTCACAGAGGGAGACCAGACAGAAGTGACTGAACAATAACCTACTATGATTTTATCTAGTGGGAAAATCCAGGGTCTCCAGAATACCTCTTTAGAACAAACCCTTGGGCTAGAAACTACAAACTTTTCTGTCCTCCCTATATTAAAAACACAATGATTAAAAAAGATGTAGCTTTAAATGGAACTTTCCCAAACTGTCTAAAATTTGCATCACTGTAAATTTCAGGCATGCAAGTTTGTGTGTCTCAGAACTGACCCATGTTTGTCCAAATGCATTAACCATCCACAAAAGATATACAGTAAAATGTAATTTCTTACATATGAACCACTTTTACACTTTTAGGCCATTTCAGCTAGAACACTATCACTGTGTATGTGTCTGAATCCCTCCTTCACCACCACAATTGTCAGAAATCCTCACTAATCTCTAATCTTATACTTTATCTCCAGAACTTCTGTGGAAAGTAAATGCAATAGCTCACCTGAAACACATTCATTCCTGCTGATCTGCTAGGACAAGTACTAGAAATACCCTCACACAGAATAACTGTATGAAACGTCATTTGTAGACACACTTCTTCACATGAGCAAAAAAATAAAAGCGCTGAGACAATCTAACCAAGCTGCTTCAATAATTTACAGGTTTTAAAGGCTGCTCTCAGTGCTGTCAAATACACAGCCTGTATAAGCACAAAGCCTGGAGAATTTGTTCCTCAGATGTCGCATCACCCATTTTCACTTAAATGCTTTTGGTTGTAACCTTCAGCTAGAATTAATCTTTGGTTGGGATTTAAAATGCTGGTCCAGTTGAGAAGAAGAAAAGAAAGAAATTAATTTTGATTCCAAACAATTCATAAAAATCTGCTGTTGTTGCTTGCCTTTCATTTGAGCTCTTTGGAATTGTTAGCACCATCATATCAGAAAGAAGCATCAGTTGTCCACCTCAGTAGAACTTCACTCATGAAAAACAAGCAGAGTTGGATGGCTCTGCATTTACTATGGAAAGTACTTTTGTCATGTAAGCTATTTACAAGTTGGTAATCATAGGTAACATTCAAACCACTTGAAATACCTTCTAAGAATATTTTGCAGCTATTCTTAAGAGTCTTACTGGAAAGCTTTTATTTGCCAGGCATCTGGTTCAGAGTCCCTACATCCTTCTAATGTATGAAAACAAAAAAAGCTCTTAAACTATTTTTTGTTATTATTTTTGAAGTGAAAAATTACATAACTATGCGTACCTCTGATCAAATGTACCCACTCAGCTGTTGGAATCACAGAGCAGAAACAGAAGGAAGATGAGGATAACAAAATAATTGTCTTTCAGGTTCACATTGAACAAATCCACAAATACACTGAAGTATACAGTTACCATTGCACTGTTTCCTTTTTACTCCATAAGTAAATTTAATAAAATGAAAATACATTTTGCATATGTTCACTCAGGTGGGTGCCTGCGTTCCTATGGCTGTACCAGAAAAGACAGTGAGTTTTTCTGTCTTGCCTTTACAATTGGAAATTGTATACTTAAGGATACTACAACAAAAATAAATCACAAAATCAAGTGCTCAGGTCAGAAATACTAACAGCTATTTTAACAGTATTGCTTTGAATATAATTTACATGCAAGTACTTCTGTACTTCTTTCACTAAGAGTTACTTATCAGTATTAAAACCTACAAGAATCATGAAAGAAATGTGTGGATTACCCTCAATTGCAATTCAAAGGTAAGAGTAAAAAGTAACTTCCTCTTCCCCTAGGGGGCACTTTGCCTGCTCTTGTTCTATGTCAACTCCACCTGCCTTTGCCTATTTTTTGGGCAAGAGAAAGGGCCATCCAGCAGACAATTCAGTAGCAAAGGAGGGAGCTGAAGGCAGGACTGATCAACACGCACTGCAGAAAGAATATTCTGGCCCCTGTAAACTCCCTGAATGACTGCTCATTAAGTACATTTATATATTGACCAAAACACCCATTGAACTGCTTCCTCCCACACTTGCATGTGCCTATTTTCCATCAGCTACGGAGAAAGCAATGGCAGTTTTATCACACTTGGCAGTATGCTGTTATAGTTATCACCAATTCAGTTTATTTCTATACAGGGCAAAACCTAAGAGTGGCTGCATTACGTCAGACTAAGGTCTGTCTTTCCCAGTATCCCGTGGTGACTGTGAACTCTATTTCCATCCTTCAGTCCTTCGTATCTTTTGGCAGGATCGCCATTACTGATCCTCTGACTTGCATATCCTTCCCTACCTTGTTTTCCCTCCAGTATCACACAGCTAATTTTTATTTTTCCTTTATGCCACTCATCTCCTTCATTAGAGGGGCTGTGGGGCTTTTTTAAGGATGAGCATCAGCCTCACTGTAAGAGGAGAAATCAGTAAAGACAGTAGTCAAAAGCAGATGCCCAGGAAAGAATGTAGGAAGCAGACAAACATGTATGATGCTCCCCTGAAGTATTCCCTCAGACTCCAATCACTTACTACCAATGATCTCTAGAGCCAAAGGTGGCTTTGAGAGGTGGCCTCGATGCTAGGAAATAGGGCTCTGCATCAAGGTCAAATTATAGTTCTCATCTCAGTCATTACTGCCTACCCACTGATCAGTGTTCAGCATCCTAATTGCACTACTGACATTTTCACATACTTACATCATATTTTTAACTGTATCTTTGCATTCATACTTACTATGACTGTGTAAGTGACAATTGGCTACTTCTTTTCTAAGGTAGTTAATACTTATTTAGACCCTGAAGGGAAAAACATTACATCATTTGCAGCAATCAGTGACACTGTTGTTTTCACTTCCTTCTTACAAGCATTGCAAGGCTTCCATTCTATGAGATGGGAAGGTCTGAAGAAACATAAGCTCTCTACCTCTCTCCCCATTAGCATACAGGCAGAATAAGGGCATGCAATGAATATTATAATTTAACAATGGAAGTGTCTCATTAATTACTTTATTTGGGTAGAAAGGTCGCGTTGCCCTAATTCTGTCAACTAATGAATCAGGATGAGTGATGGGGGCACGAGTCAACTTGGGTTTATGACAAAATAAATATTATTTTCTTAGACTAGAATTAATTCATCTTTGCTAGATAGCTATTATCCAACCTCAATCTTGTCTCCTGTCTTAATATGTGGCAGAAATTCTTAGACTGACAGGAAAATGACTACTAGTTAACAAAATACAAGCATTTTCACATGAAGAGACAGGTTTGCATATTTTATTCAGTTGAAACAAAGCCATCATTAAAGTACAACAAATTTCAGATCAGAAAATATGATGGTTTCCAATTAATTTTGAAATTGATGTTCCGAAAGCGCTATGCAAGAGTATATCACACAGAGCACTTTCTCAAAACACTGCCTTCATAAATCATCATTCAAAGTAAAATGCCAGAAAATAAGAAACCCTGCAAGAACTCAAGACCGTAGGAGGGAGATGTACGATGGCACCAGAGCAAGCATTCTGAAAGAAATTGCATAATATTCTGCAGAACCAGACAGTTGATTTCTCTTCCTAAAAATGTGTGTAGTAGGAGTGCCACAGCTAAAGCAACAGTCTACAAAAAAACTGTTTCTATCTGCACTGGTAACAACTTAACATCATTGCCATTACCATATAGCACCACATTTGTTCATTTTAAGCTTCTGAAAAGAATACTGCCCTGCTGCTTCAGAAAGAAAAATGTTCAAGAAAATGTTCAAGAATTATACCTGTAAACATCAGCTACTTATTTAAAACATTATTACATGATGGCATGCAAGCTCAACACAGTTACTGTTTGAAAAGCAAGTAATTAGAAGATGATTTTAAAAATCAAGTCGTTCTAAAGGACTGTAAAGTTCTGATAATGCTAAAAATAAGTACAGTATTGCCTTGGTGACTGGTGTTAAATAATTTGGGGAAACATTACATAGGTTAGTGGAAATGAGACCAACTACACCAAGGAGAAGAGAAGTCAGATTTTAAAACCCGAGGCTGCTTCTTAGAGAAAACTCAAGCTCCAGGAAAACAGGGATCCAAGAGGCTTGCTAGAACTTGTAGTGCCAGACTGTCCAAGCAGAGAGGAGGGGGTGGTGCAGTGAGCCAGCTCACAATCCCTGAGCACCAAGGATGAGCAGGGCAAAAGGACTCTGAGAGTGACTGTAAGCCTGGGGCCTTGGGTTGATGATGAGGCACAGCTGCACAGAGTGTAACAGTGAGACTGGACAACACAAGTTTATGGTCTAATCATCTCCAAACTACTGCTACCACAACCAACTTTTGGTTTTTGATAAGTCATGTTTCAGAAAGACTTTTTTTTTTTTTTTTTTTCTGCAGCAGCAGCAGAAATAAGAGGAATGGAAAGATTCAATTTTTTACTTGTTAACAGAAAAATATCAAGCTATAAAGCTACTCCTGCAGCTCCACAGCAAGCTACTTGCTAATTCAAAGGAGGTTCTTGATTTTGTACCATAGTGAACAGATGAATAAAAAAAAGAACAGGTCAGACGTGGGTACAGACTCTCTCAATTAACAAGAAAAAATTAAGCAAACAAACTAGCAATGAACAGCCTAAGCATCAAAAAACATAAACAGAATATGCAACTGTACCACCAAACCCAGTCATTTTCTGCTTCTCTACTACGTAAGTAAAGTCTTCAGCAAGTACATGAGATAAAGCAGTATATTTTTTCAATGCTGAAACTGGTAATCTCGTAAAAAACAAATTAAAGCTTTTGCAAATCAGGCAGATAAGAATCACCTAAAGAGAGAAACGGGTACTCTCAGCTTCCTAGCTTTCCCAATACTAACTCAGCATCTCAGGCATTGCCAGTTCTTGTGCTATTTCCTATACATTTTCCAAAACGAGTAGAAACTCATATTCTTTCCCTACAGTTCAGAAACCTAACATATAGACTTCTTTATGCCTTCTTATACAATAATAAAAAAATCTATCTCTCTAATACTTTCTGCTGTGCATAATGATGATTTCTGGCTTGCACACAGATCACAGTGCAGAAATCCCAAGGACAACCTGCATGAGTAAGACAATATGTTGTAGCACAGCTACACACTGTTCCTTCTGTTGGCAAGAAGCTGGGGCTGGAAAAGCCTTAGAGTTCAGGGAGAGCACCAAATCAGCTCTGCTAGACTGTTTCCAGACTCAGGAATACAGAAAGCTGAGGTCCTACTGCATGACAGCCTCCAGTATTCTCACATCCAATTGTAGCTAAGGTAGAGGTAAATAACTACAGACAACCTTAGAACTGCTCTTGGCTTTGCCCTCAGAAGTCGCTCCCACGTTGAGCCTGTTCAGTCGCTTCAAGTGGTTAAGGCTTGAACTTGAAGGCACAAGTTGTGTGAAGCTTTTTTCTTCCTCACTATAAGTAAAGAGGGGGAAGAAAAAAACAACCAACAAAGAGTTTATCACAAGCACGTTGTTTAAAAATGCAGGCAGATGTGCTTACCATAAAACTAGACACGTAAGTTGCTCCAAAAGAAATGCCTCCTATTTATTTCTATGGAAACTACAACAGCTACAGTGAACATAACATTGTTTGATAGAATAAATTCTCAGCTACAAAACACTATTTTGTGACATAGTCCCTAATGTTAGCTAGGCACGTCTCCATAAACATTCAGCACTCACTGATGAATGTCAGTGGGTGCCATTTTTTCTGCATGGAGGAATTCACTGACATAGTTTTGTTTCATATGCACTTCCATATCAGACTTCATTTTGTCAGACTGCCTCTCTGCTGCCATCTGTCACATGGCAACAATCTGTAACAGAATACTGGTAGGAAGGTTGAACCCCTTCTGCCATACCACCAACATCCACCTCTGACGTCATGGGCCAATGTAATAAAACAGGAGGTATTACTTTCAAAGCAGCCTTCATCAATTGGAAAAAAAAAAAACAAAAAACTACAGTTTGAGAATAATATTACTGGGTCAGTTCAGCACCTTGCTTCCAACACAATGGGTGGATGCAGACATCCATGAAAATGCTTATGGACAGATTAATCATGTTGGATTCTCATCCTAGATATGCATCAAGCCACAGATGTCTTCTTAATCTCCAAAACTTTCAGTGGATATTTTTTTACATGTCTCTTTGGTTGTGAAAGCCTTTAACATAAAGTATCTTTACAAACACATCTGGCAAGGAATTCAGCAGCTTAGTTACATTTTGAGTGTAGAAACACTTCATGTTTGCTTTGAAACTGCTTCCTACTAGTTTTACATCCACTACATATCAGCCCTGTACTGGTCAAGGCAGCAAGCACTTGATCTCTCTCTGCCCCTTTGAGCCACCTCCTAAAGCTTTAATTTAGTCCTGTAGCACTGCAAAGGACTGATGATGGAGTCCACGTGATGCGATCATGCTGGCAGGTAGATGAACTCCAATAATCAGCAAAATTTCTCAGAGGAGACAACAAACAACTTGTGGAGTCATGGTATGCAAGATCAGATGTGGCTGAAATTCCTGGGATTACCTGAGAGTCACAAAGAAAGACCAAAACCTCCAATACCAGCCAAAAGTTACTGCTCAGTGAAGTAATCCAACATACTGGACACTGGCACAGCTTGAAGGAGGGAATATGCTTGAGGCATTGACTCCCACTGTTTCATACTGGGTTCTGTTCTCAGAATAGAGACTGCACAATAAAATTATAGGTTTGTACTGAAAGCTGTGAAGTTCACTATATGTAAATTTTTTTAGTATTTTTTTTTTAATGAGTTTGAGACAAATTATAAATGCGATGAAAAGATGACTGCAGGCTAAACACATCAGGACTTCTAAGTCAAGAAGATAAATACTATAATATTCATACAGTATTCTAAGATACACAGACATTCAAGACAGTATTTATGCAAGTTTAAAAAAAAAAAAACAAAACCCAGCTCCAATTAATATTAATCTACATTAAATCCATATCCTTTATGCTGTTCTACCACTTGGATATCCACAATATTTATTTTAGCCAGTATAATAGACTCTGACTAATTTGAAAGAGAAACGGTTGCCTCTCTGTGTATATTAACAGCAACAAATGGAGCCTCATTACTTATTGTGATTCCTGGAATACTACCAAGAAGCCTGTAATTTAAGTTTTATTGCATTTACCTGCCAAGAAAAAAAAAAAAAAGTTACATTTCCAAGACAAAAACTGCTTCTTTGGCTTGAAAATGACAGATTCTGTAATTAAGTTATCTTCAATACTGAGGTTTCTGCTAGCATTTAAATAATTACTCCCTTACTCCTCCTGATGATCATTCTTCCCCTTACAGCTAAAGCTTTACTTCTGGAGTACAATTAATATATACCAACCACTTTCAAGTAGATTAAAATCAAATGTGCACGTAGCAGCTCCATATAGTTCTGCCATAATGTAAAAACTCTGTGTCCTTAACAAAAATACAGCCAGTGTACTGCATGCAGTTCAGCATTTAATAGAAGTACATACACTGAATTTGAAGTATTCCAATCAATACCTGATTTTTTTATGGCATCAAAAAATGGAACAAGTTATCATCATCTGCAGACAATTCAAATGTTACGTATTTGTATCTGCAGTCAAACATGTATGTTCACAATTGGCAAAATTTTAATACTAGGTTCATGTTCTATTGGCTGGAGCATCTCATAGTCCTCTTACCCAAAGTCCAATAAATGGTCCCAATGGTGCTTCTCCTTTCACTAGTAGGCTTTAGTATTACTCACTGGCAGGCACAGGGAAAGAGATGACTAACCTTGTCCTAAAACATGTTAAGTTCTGATGGCTGCTGTTTGCCATGACTTTATGTCAAACACTTTAAGAGATGAAATTTAAACACAACAGGAGTGCAACTGGCTTGAAGCGGGTTCAAGATCTAAATACATGTAATATTCCTTGATGTACGTGTCCTTGAAAAAAAATATGTACCTGGAGTTTGCATACACAGTTGACACACACACTTCCCTACAAAAGATTAGCTATGCTTTCCACATTATGTTCTCAAAGCCTCACTAATATAATCAGCTGCTGCCCATGCAACTTCAAGAGGACAACACAAGAAAACACATTTCTTTACCATACCATGCCTAAAAGACTATATGTGCAAGAGACAGCAGCTTTGGGGTATTTCTACTTGGGGGCAGTTGGAGGACAGATCACACTTTATCTAGCACAAATGCTTAGTTTTCACAGCTTCTGTCACTACTGACAGCTCTTAAAGGGAGGTGCAAGAGAATCTATAAGCCAACAAGATCTACATACATGTATTTGGGTTTAAATTACTTGCTCAGAAAACATACGATGTTGCTCAGCGTCATATAGGAATGAGCAGGACCAATTCTCATTTCTCTTTCCTTTAGCTGACATCTTACCTGTTATGTTCCTTTCACATTCAACAAAAACCTGGCTCCAGGCACTGAACAACATTGGCGGAATCCCTGAGCACTGCTGATCTCAAGTTATCAAACTGAATACATGAAAGGAGCTCAAATTTTTTTTTAGGTAAACTTGTTTGATGTTATACCTTAATTCCTTACTATTTTGGCTATAACCTTCATGTCATTCAAAGTTGAGACCAGTTACACGGGCTCAAAAACCAACAGGGATATTTACAGAAGTAAAATCGATGAGGGCCTACTAAATAAAATACCATCTGGGTATAATAAAATACTGCTGGGTCTGAATCTCTCTGACCTTAGATCATTAAAGACTGGGAGAAGCATTCCTAGGGAAGCACCACAATGCTGTTACGTTGTTCTTATCCTCTTCTCATGAATTTTTAGGCACCACTGAGGACAAGATACTGGGTACATGATCTTTGCTCTGAACCAGTATTGTGTTGCCTCTCTATACAGTATTAGGAATTGTGGCAACACTGATCCAATGATAAATGTTACTACAAATACCATACGTAATGCTAATGATCTATAAAATAAGTTCTGAAGATTGACAGTATCCTCCTCAAGCAAAAATTTTGGTTAAAATCTTAAGGAGGTAAATCAAAGGATTTCCTTATATTATTTGTCTCGTTCACTTCCTTTATTTACTTTCTAGCTACAAATAAATTTTATTGCAGAAACATCTAAAAGTAGTCACATGGGTCTTGTTATGCTAAAATAATACACAAAAGTATACAAGGCATCATCTTTGCCTCAAAAGTACTTATTGTGGGACAAGATAAATTAGACTAGCAGTGAAATGGAGGACTCAAGAAGCTGAATTACTTGAAGGGTAGTTAGGGAAAGGTCATCTGAGTTCCATGACGCATTTGGAAAAAAAAAAAAGTGAATAAACAAATTCTAAACAAGTAAGTGTAACTGATGGCTAAGAGTCTTCCTTTAAATGCCATGGTCTAACCAATTACCAGCATTTAGTAACTGGATCCCCAACCAGCTTAATTCTATCACATGAGTTTGGCACTTTATCTTGTCAGTGTGTTTAAACAGCGCCCAGCATGCAGTTGCTCATTCTCCTTACTGATGCAACACAAGCAACTAAATATACACAGTCATCTTACACAACGTACCATGGACGAGGAGCTGGCAGAAAGAGTGAGATGCACACAACTTAATTATTCCCATGAAAAGCCAGAACAAAACTGAACAAAATAACTGCAAAGCACAAACAAGCATGTATGCCTACGGCTACATAGAAATATCAGAGAAATGCAATGTAAGTATTAATATGCTGACTCATTTTAGAAGTGATCTCCTTTAAATGCAACCTCCCATGGCAGTGAGTCTCAGTGTTCAATACCAATCTCTAGAAAGTAGCCCTTCATAACCTTAGTCATATCACAATTCAGTTATAATTACAGTGATCAGGCTTTAACAAGTATCTGGAATAAATTGCAATTTATAAAACATGCAAGAAACAGACATCTTCATGCTACAGTGTACAAAAAAACATATTTCAGAAGATAATGTGAAAGACCATTAGCATTACGCTTACGTTTAGGAATTCCTTTTAAAAAGAAGGATGGGGGTTGTAAGACTCTTTCCAGTTCATCTACTGATTCTGCCATTCCTTATTATAAGTGTTGGTACAATTAAATCTGTATGCATCACAGGTAGTCCTACAAACAAAACTGAGGTTTGCCTATATATACACTGCATTAGCCATGTCTAGTTTCCCAGGATTGCAGGCTCCTTCTTACCCTGGCACTTATTTGCACTTGTATATTAATGATATTTCTGAAATCTCTTTCTTTCATGAAAGCAAAAAAGGGAATTTTTATTAAATGCTACTTGACACTAAGATTTTCATGCTGTCATGTACGTATCTGGCAATTTCAGTAATGTAAACCCAAAGGATTCAGCAGAAGTGAAGGGAGCTAGGACTGACCTCAAGAGAGTTCTGCTTGAGCTGCCAGGGAATTGCACTTGCACCTCTCCCTCTTATTCTTAGCTATTTTATGGAGCTGTCTTCTTCCTCCTTGCTGTAAATGAAGCCTGCAGAGACCAGCTTAGATTTCAAACAAAATCTTTTGATTCCTAAGCCTGCCTGATATCCTACCTAACAGAAGCGTTTTACATAAGTGAACTAAGAATTTCTGACTCTTTCCAAGGAATTGATAAATCTTTCACAAGCATTAGAAAAATTGAATGAAGTACAACGCTAGAATGCCATAATTTAGACTAATTAGTCTATGTAATTAAAATCAAATAACACAAGATTTGGAAATCTACAAATTTTCCAA